GATATGCATCCTCTCTTCGGCACTGCCGCTGGCGTACGCTGGAAGCGCTACGCTACGCTGCGCTACGCTACGCTACGCTGCCGCAAAGTATAAACGCAGCCTTAGAGACACGCGTGCGGGAACCACCATCCACGCCATTCGCCGGAGAACCACGGGTACGACAAGAAGGATACGATCGTGAACTCTAGCCATCATTGAACTCAAGTCGAACTCCTTCGGATCCACCTTACGAGCAGTCAACCAGCCCAACTCGAAAAACCTTTTCGGCAGCTCTGGCCATCCTCGCGACAAGGATCCATGCCTCATTATCGTTGCCGGCTCGATCGCTCTTGCCATGAGGCTCACGTGGGCACATTTACTTCTGAACACGGCGTACGCGAAGCCAAGCGATCGAGGGTCAACTGCCTTATCGTCCAAGTCCATGATGCGCTGAGCTTTCAGCGCAGCCGACCCAGGCTGCATCCAGATCGAAAACACTCTTGCAGCCTCCAAAACGCATTCTACCGGCAGAGCCTTCGCGGGATGTGGCAACGCTGAAATCAGATCTCCAGCCGTCATCGTCTTCGACACACAACAATCTGACAACGCGAAACTCGGCCCTCCTTTGATTGACGGAAAGTCCTGGCCACGGCATCTGAATTGAACGTGCAGGGCGTGGCTGTCGTCCGGGAACGTCAAACTCCAGCTCCGGCCTGAAATACTCAATTTGAGGTTTGAACACGGAAATTTTCAAGACTCTCTTCACTCTCTTTCGCCTAGTCTTGGTGTTCACTCTTTCGTTCGGGATTTCCTCTGGGCACTTGAGGAGCAAGTCATACTGCACTTTTATGGCATCCTCAATTGCTACCTACACGCGATATGGGCCATCCCAGTCCACCGTCAGTTTGGACCCACGCACCCATGTTTCCCTCGCACCTTCTCGCGCGGCAATCTCATGAATACTCTTCCTCCCACCGATGGAAGGGAGAGGACGTCCACGTCCTTTCGTCGATCATACACCTCCTTCATTTTAGCCCTGTATTTTTCGCTATTGGCTCGTACCTCATCCCTTATCAACTGTAGCCCTCTAAGCAACTCTGTCCGGTAGTCGTCGACAAAAACCTTATACTTAGAGACATCGGCACTAGGGATTGTACAGGAAGGCATGACCGGGTCGAACCCGTGTAGGATGAAAAAGGGGCTTTCACCCGTAGCCTCATGGGGTGTAATATTATACGCATACACGACATGGGGTAGCATCACATCCCATTTATCGGGGAACTCCACCTTCTTTTTCAACATCCTCTGTATGGTTCCAATCGCGCGTTCACTAACCCCATTCTCTCTGGAGTTATAGCCTTTCGTCACCGAATGCTTAATTCCTGCAACCTCAGCTAGTTCATTCAACAAGGAGTTTAGGAATTCGGTGCCCTGATCAGTGTGGATTTGCTTGGGCCAACGCCCTCCTTCGCAGATCCAGCGATGGAACAAAGTGGTTGCAACTGTAGCAGCACTTTTATCAGGCATTGCGTACGCACCTACCCATTTCGAAAAATGATCGACCACTACAAGGACATATTTCATACCTGACAGACTGGTGCCCATCTCCAGTGTGTCAGCTGCGACTATTTCGAATGGTCTGCCTGTTACAAAGGGCTTAAGCGGAGGAATCATACGCTTGTGCGGGTTCGTCAGCAGACAGCTAGTACAGCCTCTAACCCAGCGGTAAATATCGCGATGCATACCGTCCCAAAACACAAGCTTTCTCAGTTGTTCGAGCATCTTCTTAGCGGAATGATGCCCTGCTAATGAGCCACTATGGTATTCATCGAAGATGTCTTTCCTCCGTTCTCTTGGAACAACCATAACAGCGGACCCATCTTCCAACAGGAACTTCAACTGACCATTTTCCAGGACAAAATCAGCCGCTTTGAGTCTTTTTCGCGACGACTGTAATTTCACTTCTTTGTCAAGGTTTCCTTCCTCCAATGCGACGATGATCGGCCCATACTCGATATCATCGCGTAACTCATCCAGCCATGCGGAGGCTTCTTTGCTTCGATGCTGCACACTACTTTTTCTTCCGCGAAAAGGTCTTCCAATTCTGGCGTATTAATAGGTACACCTCGCGATAGTGCATCAGCAACTGGGTTTGTTTTCCCTTTCACATGCTCAATCGTTAGCCGGTACTGCTGGACTTCCAGAGCCCATCTAAGTATGCGCGGAGAAACATTAGTTCTCCGAAATATCGCTGTCAGCGGCGCATGATCCGTTCTCGCGATCACTTGCATGCCGTAAATGAAGAAGTGAAATTCTTCAAAGCGAATACCAAGGCGAGCGCCTCAAGGTCAGTAACATGATAGTTCCGCTCTGCTTTTGTCAGACGCTTTGATGCAAAGTATATTGGATGGAGAAACTCATCCAGTCCTTGCTGGCAAAGCACAGCTCCTACGCCCATTTGCGACGCATCCGTATAGATTATGTAAGGGTTCTTTCCTGACTGAGCCCCTTCGACGTCAGGTTGCGCCAACACCGGAGTGGTTGACAGCACTTCTTTGAGCGTCACGAAAGCTTCATCCTGAGCAGCGTCCCATTTCCACGGTACCTTCGTCCTTGTTAATTCGAACAAGGGACTTGCTATTTTAGAGAAGTTGAGCACGAATTTACGGTAATAGCTGCACATACCGAGAAATGTACGGAGTTCCGCTATACTGGTGGGCTTCGGAAACTCCTTTATCTTCACGACCTTGTCAGGATCTACGTGCACTCCTTTCCCGTCGATCCTGTGACCAAGAAATGCGACGTTTTCTTGAAGAAGTACGCACTTTTGAGGCTTGAGCCGCAAGTTGGCCTCTAACAACGCGTCCATCACCATTTGTAGCCTACTTTCCGACGCAGTAGCAATAAGGATGTCGTCGATATAAACGAAAACTTCCTTATTCTTCAGCTCACGTAGCACCGTGTCCATCAGCCGTTGAAAAACAGCAGGCGACGTGGTTAAACCGAATGGAAGGACTGTAAATTGAAAGAGACCTTCTGAGGTTGTGAAAGCACTCTTTTCCTTTGCTGCGGCGGTTAGAGGAATCTGCCAATATCCCGATGCCATATCAAGCGTCGAGAAGAATCGTTTCCCCTGCAAACTTTGCAGCATGGTATCAATTCCTGGCAACGGGTAGGCGTCGTGCTTCGTGCATTTATTCAATTGACGATAGTCAATGCATAACCGGAGGGTTCCGTCTTTCTTCCGCACAAGCACTACCGGCGACGCCCACTCAGATGTCGACCGCTCAATGATTCCTCGTTGGAGCAGGCTGCTAAGAATATCCTTGAACTCATCACGAGCACCTATGGGGACAGGTCGCGTCTTTTGCCGAATAGGCTTAGTAGTCCCCGTGTCAATGTCATGAGCTACAAGAGAAGTCTGCGTCAACTCGCTATCCTCCACCGCGAAAACATGGTTCTTGTCCGTCACAATCTGTTGGAGTTGTGGCGATAGCGTCCTTCCATCTCTGTTTCGGATCAGCAACTTATTCAGGGTCTCCAACCTTTCCCTCTCTGACATAGGTTCACCCTGGTTGCAGAGTAGATCCGTCGGTGCACGTCTACAGCGAGTATCGTTCCAGTAGGCATTTTCCCATTCGCCTACTTCCTGGCCTTTTGTATCACCATGGGCTCTTGCGTAGTATTGACAACCGTTACTTT